GAGAATCAATAAACTGATTATTATTGTTATTATTATAATTGTTATTTTATAAATAAGCACAATCACCACTGTGGTGGGAGCAAAAGTCTTGTTAGAAGAAAATGCATTCATCTAGGCAGGAAAAACAAATGGCTAACGTTCAACTTTGTAGAATAATATATTTTGTGTGACAATAAAAAATGTATATGTTTTCATAGTATTTCAGTGATTTGATTGGTGTTTTAGTGCTATATGATCTTGATATCTAGCACATTTATTTGTTCTAACTATTAACCATTCGGAGCTCCAAATCATTCTAGCTGTACCATTAATATGTACCAAAACAGGTCAAATGTACCAGGTCTAAGAGTACATTCACTTAGCTTGTAAATACATACATGAACAGAGGTACATAAGTGAAGCATGTGCACTTGTGATACGTTTAAACAAGTACCTCAATATTGGAACCTACATGTAGGTAATATTTCTTTTTTTTATTATAAAGAAGTACATACATAAACATATATTTAGCCATGTAAAATACAATATACTTCTATATCATAGTAATAATAATAAAAAGTTATTACCTACATGTACATGTATATATACATGTGTGTGTATAGGTATATATTTATATATGTATATGTGTGTATGTGTATACGTGTGTATTTGTTTTTGCATATTTAAATGTATACATACATATCTAGTATATATATGTGTGTGTGTGCATGTATATATACACATATGTATGTACATCTATATACGTGCACACATACACGCACTCACACACACACATATATATATATATATATATATATATATATATGAGTGTATATATATGTAAATATTTTCATTTATGTATTTGTTTTTGTGTATATAGATCTATCTACATATTTAAAAACTGGACTTTTGCAACCCTTTACTTATATAGAAGATATTATAATTCAAAATCTTTCCTTTCCACTCCTTTTCTCAGTACATTTATCACCACTATTATTTACTATTATGACCATCAGCATTTATACAATAATTTCTTATATGAAGAAAATTAGCATTATTATTGTTATAATCATTTATAATTTTATTGTTACTGGCACTGATATTGGTACTGTTATGATAAAAAACACCATTATCATTGACATTTCTTAGTGCTGATACTGGTGTCAGTACTGTTACTCTTCTGATTTTTAACAATTTCACACAGATAAGTAGATAGATAGAAGTGGGTTTCTATTACATACATATATGTATATCATAAATATTTATTACTTCTGTGCTGTAAGCATTCATGTAGCAATACGTTATGAAATGAATTGTCTTTTTATTGTATTTATAGATGTTTTTATATAATATTGAGATCATATTATTATCAACATTATATAGTTCATTATCTGGCATACTTGCCATTCACAGGGTGACGATGAGTTTCCTTGCCGACTGGAAGCCTTTGGCCCCACTCATGGATGAGGAAATATATGGCACAGGAGTAAGTGTCAAAGAAGAGCTCAGTGAAGATATTTCCGAGGATGCTTGTATTGAAATTAAAGAAGAACTGTTTGATTATGCAGATAAAGAGAGAGATGAAGTGAGCAATGAGAAAGGGAAACATGACTGTCTTTCCTTCCATAAACTTGATGAACTAAGACATGAATCAAATGCAAAGGACACATGTAACTTGGTTCAGAATCATAATGGCATGTTGTCAAGAGCACCATTTGGGGCAGAGAATTGTCTGAATAAGAGTTCATCATATGAGGATCAGGCAATGCATAAGGAAAGTCTTAAGCCGGATACACAACCAAAAGTGAAAGCCACATTGAAACGTTTTGTATGTGAGGTATGTGGCAAGAAATTCTCTCTTAAGAGATACATCAAGATTCATATGAGAGTTCACACAAAGGAGAAGCCATACAGCTGTGAGATTTGCAACAAGGCTTTTTCTCAGAAAGCTCATCTAGTAAAGCACATGACAGTACATACAAAGGAGAAGCCATTTATCTGTGATATTTGCAGCAAGGCCTTTACTCATAAAGGAAATCTAGGAAAGCACATGAGAGTCCATACAAAGGAGAAACCATACAGCTGTGAGATTTGCTTCAAGGCTTTCTCTCAGAAATATTTTGTAGTAAACCACATGAAAGTGCATACAAAGGAGAAGCCATTCAGCTGTGATGTTTGCAGCAAGGCCTTCTCTCAGAAAAGTACTCTAATAAAGCACATGAGATTACATACAAAGGAAAAGCCATTCAGCTGTGAGATTTGCAACAAGGCCTTCGCTGAGAAAGGAACTCTAGTAAAGCACATGAGAGTCCATACAAAGGAGAAGCCATACAGCTGTGAAATCTGCAACAAGGCTTTCTCTTGGAAAAGTATTCTAGTAAAGCACATGAAAGTACATACTAGTGAGAAGCCATTCAGCTGTGTGATTTGCAATGAGGCCTTCTCTAGGAAATGTACTCTAGTAAAGCACATGAGAGTACATAGCAAGGAAAAGTCACTTAGCTGTGAGATTTGCAACAAA